ATCGGATTTGCCTATGAAATTATTAGATGATCATATTGTTTGGCATATTGGTTGACGCCGAGAGCTGAAATTTTGTGAAATGTGCCCTGTTCTTCTTGAAAAATGTGCGAAGCTGGGTTACTTGTACGCTGGCTATGAATATGGTTTTCACGCGTGAAACAACAATCAAATTTCTCGAGTTTCATTTTTTCAGCAAATTTTGGCTACAGTATCACTATCTTATTTGGTGTGGGTTCATTCGTATAAGTTGCTTATCCATGGATGATACCAACAAGATATTTTTATATTGTAGTCGAGATACAAGGGAAGACAAGTTTATATGCAAAAGTCAGCAGAAAAGGAAGGATTTTGCTCTGTCAAGCTTGTTTTGTAGTGCTTATGAATTACTTGTTGGCACTATCGATCTGACATGCTTTGATATCCATATTTGACAATAGAGTATGTGCTTCAAATTCTTTGGAACGCCATAGGCTTATAGAAATTCTCTTCTTCTACTATCTTAGTAGATTCAATTGAGCTTATGTGTGACAAAGTGAGGGTGTTTTTGTAAAAGCATTAGTCCTCCTACTTCGAACTCATCTATTTCCTTTTCTTTTTTTTTTATATCCAAGTATCCCAACTTACACTAAACTAAATCCTGGACCCCCAAGATCCTTGCCCCTAGAACCTTGGAGGGGGTAAATCGCGGGTTATGCCTCAACTGGATCACAGGTTCCCCCCACCGTCTGTACAATTCTGTGCACAAGAGATCCTCCTCCAAAGTGATTGCTCCATACCAAATAAATCTGGCCGTAGGTTCCCACACTATTTCTTGCATTGAGAGAGTGAGAGTCATTTCATAAAATTATTTTATCTACATTTACACGATTTGTTTTGATGAAGGTTGTGAGTATTTTAAACATACTTTGATAGCATTTTTATCCTTTTGTTAGGTCAAAGGAACGGTTTTTAATACAGGCGAATGAAGCATTAGTTGACATAAATGCAATTTGCATGTGCGAGATGCATTCATACATAATATTTAACATATGGAAGAGGCTGGAATTTTTATTGGTGAAAATGAGGTGGATGATTGTTTAATCTTGAGCCTACGTGTAATCCAGTACGGACTTGCTTGGGAATGTTGTAGACAACTACAAGCTGAAGATATCGTTGTAAAGGGTCTGGTAGGTAATTTCCAAGTATTAAAACATGCAAATGGGTATGATTGTGGGCTATGACATTGTTCGTTGCCTCTCTGTAATATTATATTCGTTGCAAGTGTTAGCCGGATAGCTTACACTGATAATTCCCTGCAGTTACAATTTGTTGTGCGTAAAAATACATTTCTACTTAAGATTTTTGTATTTAAAATACTACATCTCTAGTTTCTTTGGATTCGGTATGCAGGTTATCAGCAAAAATAAAGGTGGAGTGGTGGTAGTGGTGGAGGGCCTTCGTGGATTTGTTCCCTTTTCACAAATATCAACAGCTCATCTTTTGGCTTGCCCATGAATCTTTATATGAGGCCATCTTCTCTTTTAGCAGTAATTCGAAAGGTTGCCCTACTCGGGAATCTCCGGATCTATGCTTATTTTCAACTCCCAGAAGCATTACTACGCCCTTCCTCGTCTCTGAGTACTTAGGTATCCACTGTAAGCCTTTTCTCTACTCTTCCGGATCCTTCCTTTCTTCAAACGGAAGGAATAGAAATAGAATCAGACCGATTCCCGAAATACCTTTCTAGATATTCCTCAATGTCTCGATTCATCCGATTACTACAGGGATGAACCCAATCCGGAATATGAACCATAAAAGAAAATACCTATTAAACCAATCACAAGAAGAGCTCTCCATTTTTCCCCCTTCTACTAAGTTACTCCATGTTCTGAAGTACGTTCTATGTTGCAATTTGTGCCTCTTTCAAAATGTGACCGTTTTGAATCTAAACTCTCACAAAGACTAATTAATTTCATAAAATAAATTTTAAGGGAAAGAAGGATCTTTCTTCTCTAGAGCTCTCTACAGTGAATATGACTATGTTGATCCATTAGATATAAATCTAGGTGCAGCCCTCTCCAATTCTCTTGTTTAGCCTGTTCCAATCTTCCTTAATGGTTGGCCCTTTATCTTTTTTTAGAATGAGAAGTTGCACTTGGTAGTTGTCACCGGAAGCAAGTGAAAGCAGTGAGTTGACTAAGTCTTGTCTTTCCCGAAGTTGATGCAGAAATAGTGATCCCCCGAACTATTTGTTCATGTGTCTTTTCTATCTAGTAAAGCAAATCATCATTTTTTTCAGTATATATGAATTTTAGGGTGAACGTGTGATTTCATATTGGCAGCATTCTTGCTCTCATTAGATGTCAAAATTTCTGCTATCTCCTTTCTCGCAAATGTCTGGATCCTTCAATGATGGATTGTGCTGAAGGTTTTAAACGTTTGATCTATTTTGTAAGGAGTGCACAAGATCTCATCCAAAGATAAAAAGTATTAACGATGAAGAGAATTATATCGATACAAATTGTAATTCAAAAATTAAGGTTCTTTCTCCCATTCTGATGTCATATCTTCCCACTTCGTCATGTCACTGCAAATCATTTAGGTTTCCACTTATTCTTGGTACCTTCCATATTATGAATAAAATCTTATTAAGAACTCTTTTGAACGTGTATCAAAAATCAACTGCAGAAGAGCTTCTAAATAAAGAGCTGCCCCTTAAATTTGTTGAGGTTGACGGAGAACAATATAAGCTTGTCCTCAGTAACTGAAAGGCCATGGCTCATGGTCAGGCACAACTAGGAATTGGGTCATTTGTAATTGACATTGGTGGAATCAATGGACTGATTATCGTGTCTCGAATATTGCTACCGCTCTTCAGCCTGGTGACAGTTTGAAGGTTGTCTCTTTCGAGAAGGCGAAAATGCCTATTCTTATCGATTATCATGTTATTGCAGTTATACTCTCAGTTTACTCGACATTTGGCTTTAGTTCTATCTAGAGAAATTTAAGTCTAAAAGTGAACGGGAATCTTACTGCAACATGTAAATATCATTGATAAAAAATGTTCATATACAAGTACACCGGGCATACTCGGGCAAAACAGAAACCAATATAACATACAATTACTCCGGGCATACCCTGGAGATACAACAAAAGTGAAGTGCAAAAATCATCAATGACCCACGCTAAGGAGTCGAAATGGATCAAGACATCCGGATACAAAAAGAATATAACTTTGTATATGTGTGTCTTGATCTGTCTCACAATGGAATCCAAGTTAGGTGAAAGATCTTCAAAAATCTTCCTGTTACGTGCTAACCAAATATAGTATACGGTACTTGCAAGTGCAATCCTCTTCGCCTTGCTAAGCCATGATGTCCCACGAGCTTCTTTTTTTAACCACTTCAAGGCGCTAGCAAGTGTAGACATGGATCTCCTAATGCCAAGCCACTGTCTAATATTCCCCCATATGGATGAAGTGAAAGAACATTCAAAGAATATGTGACATCCGGTTTCTGCCATATGTCCACAAAAAACACAATTACGATCAATATCCAAAAATTGCAATTTGTCTTTCGTTAGGAGTTTAGATTGAACCCCTAACCAAAGCAAAAGGAGTACTTTGGAGTTATGCATGGTCTCTAAACCTCGACAGCCCAAATCTTCTTTGTACCCCTCGGCCTCAAGAAATCATAGGCCATTTTTATGCTGAATTTTTCACCTGCTGACCAGCCATGAAAATTGTCCAGAAATCCCAGAAAATGATTGTTGTTTTGACTTGCCGACCAACCCTGAAATCTGTCCAAATTACCTTGAAATTGGTCCCTGTTTTGAGAAAGACCAGCATGCTGACTTGGGGTAAAAGCAGCATTAACAAACTAGTTGTTTCCACCATTTACCTAGACGGGCAACACTTGCTGTCCATGTGCAAGACACTGGGGCACAACAACCATTTTAAGCCATAAATCTCTAATTTCTAGCAATTTTTTGAAGAGTGGGGAGTGATCTTTCTTGGGTAGAACATCCCAAATGCAAGTCCCTTTAAGATAAACTTGGTGAACCCAACGTATCCAAAGAGTGTCCTTTTTATGTTGGATATTTCAAAGGGATTTAGCAAGTAGAGCTAAGTTCCAACTCTTCAAGTCTTTCAACCTGAGGCCCCCTTCATCCTTTGGAAGGCAAAGATCCTTCCACGCCACCAAAGGTTTCTTGGATTTTCAAAGAAATTTTCAGCCAAGGCTAACAATTCTTGAGATAATTGTAGTCGGGATAGAAAAAATAAAAAGCCAAAAGCATTCAACACCTTGGAGCATCGTCCTAATAAGTTCCACCTTATCGGCATAACATAACGATGAGCAATTCCAAGCCCCAATATAATCAGCAATTTTATCAAAGAATGGAGCACAACAACTTACTTTGAGCTTCACCGAAGCAAGAGGGATACCCAAGTAACGGAAAGGCATAGTACCTTTCGTGATATTTGTAACTTTCATGATATTATCAAGCTCATACCCATAAATTCCAGTTGTATACAGGCTGGATTTTAAAGTGTTCATCCTCAAACCCGATACAAAACCAAAGTTGGTAAGGCAATACATAAGAATTTGCACTGACATAACATTTCCCCTTGCAAAGAGCATCAAGTCATCCGCAAAAGCTAAATGAGTTATCTTTAAGGGGCCACATTTGGGGTGATAATTGAATTCACTATCATTTGTGGCAACCTTAATCATTCAAGAAAAATATTCGAGACAAAGCACGAGCAAAAAGGTGGAGAGCGGATCACCTTGCCGAAGACCTTTCCCACCCTTGAAGAAGCCATGCATACTCCCATTCAAAACTATGGAATATGTTGAAGAAGTAACACATTCCATAACCCATTGTATAAATCTCAAAGGAAAGTGCAACCCTTCAAGTATTCCTTTAAGAAAATCCCAACTTACCGAATCATAAGCTTTCCTTATATCAATTTTTAGGAGGCATCTAGGAGCTACCATTTTTCTATTATATTGTCTCATGAGTTATTGGGCAAGATGAATATTTTTCATCATACTCCTACCTTCAATAAAAGCAGGTTGTGCTTGATCCACAATATCCCCCCAGATAGGCCTCAATCTAGAAGCAAGGATTTTAGTGATCACTTTATAGATAACATTGTAACAAGATATAGGCCTATAATCCCCAACACTAGGTGCATGTCTTGATTTTGGCACCAAAGCAATGACCGCGTGGTTGATTTGTTTGAGGATAGATCCCGATGAGAAGAATTCCATGATGGCCTCCACAAAATCATGTTCAATAGTCCCCCCATGCCTTTTTGAAAAAACGTAAGTGTAACCATTTGGACCGTGAGATTTATCATCTCCAATCCCAAATAGAGCTTCTTTGATCTCATAACAAGAAATGTCCCGAATTAATGAGATGCCTTGTTCCAAGGATACCAAAGGCCCATTGCGAATAATGTCCATGTCAATCAGCCCCACCGGCTCTTTTTTTCCCAGCAAGACAAATTCCAAAGCAACTTGGTCTTGTGAAGTAGTATACATCACATCCTCCTTAAGCGTAGTAGCAATAAAATTTCTCCTTGTGTTCCTTTTAAAAACCGAGTGAAAGAATTTTGTACATTTATCACTTTACTTAAGAAAAATACACTTAGCTTGTTGATAATAAAAGCTTCGTTCAGCTTCACATAAACCCACGACTTTCTTTCTCAATCTTGCCACCATAAGTTGATAATGCTCATTCTTAGGTTGATCATGAAGTATAAGTTGGGCAGCCTCCAATTCACTTTTAGCCTCGTTTGCCCGAGTAGAAATGTGTCGAAGTGCTTAACATTAAGCTCGTTCAATGCTCCTTTTAATTTGCACGACTTCTTACAAAGAATAAGTTTCTTTGTTCCCACCACATTAAAATTCCAGCTAGCTAGAATAATATCATTGAAATCCTCGTGGTTTGTCCACCTATTAAAGAATTTAAATGATTTTCTAGTATTCACCATACGATCATGAATAGACACGATGCATGGAGAATGATCAAAAAGGCACCTGAAAGGTAACAAATCAGGAAAGACATATGCACCATTTTGTACCCAAATATCATTCACCATGACCTTATCAATTTTGCTCCAAGTCGAATTATCAATCCAAGTGTAAAGACAACCAATGGAACGCACATCTGTAAGACCAACACGAAGGCAACAATTAGCAAAATCTTTAATTTCATAAGGAGTTACTTCCGCCCCATTGCTATTCTTATCAAATTTTAGCACATTGTTGAAATCACCAAGAATCATCCAAGGCAATGAAACATTTGCATGAAGGTCCATGATGTTGTTCCAAAGTGGCCTCCGGCTAACAATTGTATGAAAACCATAAACAAAACTAACAAGAAAGGTATAAGATGTTACCTTGCAAGTAGCAATAAAATGGATAATTTGTGGGGTCGTCTCCAAAACTTCCAACTTAACTTTGGATGGACTCCATAAAATCAAGATTCGACCGGCTCTATGAGTGCAAAAATCGTTGACTTGCATAAACCCATCAAATTTATTCTGCATAACTCGGTTCAACTTTTGATCTCCAAGCTTTGCCTCCAAAATACCCATGACATCAATGCAATGTCGCTTGATGAAGTCTCAAATCCCATTTTGTTTGAGGGGAAATTCAAGCCCCTAATATTTCAAGATGCAATCTTCATGATCTTGAAGCAAGGGATGTTCCCTTCTTCTTGTCAATTTTAGTTCCCGCTTTCCTTTGCTCATCAACCTTTCCTTTAAGCTTTTCATTGCTAGATTTATTTGACTCCGCCCCTCTAATATCTGATGAAGAATCTAACCCTGTATTATCCCTTTGACTTCTATCACATGCGGACACGTGAAGGGTTGGTACGGGCTGAATTTTTCCCATTTTTCCTGTTGACAACCTCAACAGATGGGACGTCAATCTGGTCCTGGACCTGATTTTACTGGCAATCCACAAAATCATGATGTACCTATGCACAATTTTGAATAACAGGCTGCCTTTTCTGGCCATTTATCACCCTAAGCTGCTGACTTTCATTCCTGGCTGAAACACAAGTTGTTTTAGCTGAAAAAATTTTGTAAATTTGGAGCTGCCAAAGTCTTCCCAGCCTGCACGTTTTTCCCATATGCCCGGCATGGAGGTAGTAGATATCTCGCCATTTATGGCCTTACCTTTGTCACCGGCGGGCTGGTTTTTATAGTTGCAACCAAGGGTGGAATGCTCAAACACTTTGCAAGAACCACAAAATTTTGATTCATGCTCGAAAAGAATTTCTTGTTCCCTCAAATTACCATTAGGTAGTCTTATCTTTACCACCCGCACAAGCTCAATAGATGCGTGATTTCAGCTAGGGCTCTTGCATAGGATAGTCTACCTCTTGATACCGTGACCTTATCGGTCGAGATGGGTTTACCAACTTTGGAAATAATCTTACCCAAGGCATTCGTGTTCCAAAACTCCAATGGCAATCTCGGTAAGGTAATCCAAACCGACATGGTGCTAACATCTTTGTCATCAAAATCAAAATAGCGGGGCATGACTTTCAACATTAATGGTCTCCCATATACCAAGTAGGGACCCCCATGCAACATATTTAGCCTTTCCGCATCCGTCTCAAATTTGAACACCAACCAACCACTCGAGTGCACATAATATTTATACTCAACTTTCCATAAATCACATAATTGGAGTAAGGCCATTTTTCTGGGAAACCTATCGGCAAAATATCCAACAAGACCATATCTCCAAGAGTTTTCGATATTGTCTTCATCAGATTCACCGAAAACCACTTCTTCCGATTGAATATCGAAGGCTTTCAACTTAATGTTTTCCTCCATTTTCCTATTATCTTTGAAGAGGTTTACCCATGGAGCTCTAGTGTCTTTCACAACCTCAATCCCAGCACCATTTTCATTATTCCGGTTATTTAATTCCACTTTATGCAACTCAACATCAAATTTTTCAGATTCTGTGTCATCTTCACCAAGTGTTACTGATACACTCGGTGAGAGAAAATTCACCTTATTTTTATCCACCAAACAAGATTTCGAATCGGCATCAACACCTCCTCCAACATCAACCTGTCGAAGAGCTTGGGGTTTAAGGGGAGCCAAACCATTATATTGGCCAGCAACAATTTTCTTCTTACCCTTGCAGAAATAGAAAACTGGACCAACTGGGAAGAGGGGAAAAAACATGCAAAAAAAAAATCCAAAAGTCACAAATAACAACCTAAAAAGGGGAGAGAAGTGGGCCGGCAATAGATATCTGGGATAGAAAGTCCAGAAAATGAAGTGGCCCAAAGGAATAAATAATGACCCAAGGAGGTCCAGCCAAAACAGACCCAATTGGATGACCCGTATCACACTAAAACCAATAGAAATCTGAGATAAATAATATTTAAAACTTGAATAAAGCTAGTTGTACTCGTCCACTTACCCGCTCGTTTACACGCTCACGTGGGTTTGTCCAAAAAATGAATAATAAATTGGTTTAGGCGGTGGGGGGTCCATTTCTGTCATTTGACTTTGGGGCTGGGCGTTCTTGTAGCATTCCATTCAAAAGTTGCGTGAAATTGCAACTCTCGTCTTTGCCGGGAAAGCGGGGCTCCTCTTCTGCGAAAAATTATTTACACTTGCCCATTTCTTCTTCATAAAGGGGAAATTTTTTTACGCATTTCTTCTTCAGAAAGGGGAAATTTTGACGCCGGTCCGACGCCGGGTTCATTTCACATCAGTTCGTTCAATTTGTTCACTAATATCTATTGGCCGCGATTTCCAGTCGTCGCTTGGCGTTCTGTGAAATATCCAACAATGGCTACAGTCGAGAGGCAAAGTGGAAGTCGAAATCTGGTTTCAGTCGAAGAGATGACGGACCCAGGTATTCCCCTTTCCCATTTTTGGTTTGATACTGCTGTAGGGTTTAGGAACAAAGGTATACTCTTTCCCTTGCATTTTTTCGTGCTGTAAGACCAAACATATTTGTTGTAAGAACATAAGCTTTGTCATGAGCGAAGTTCCTGATGGATTGACTACCATTAAGTGATGTCTTTTTACACTAATTCCATTCGATTTAATCTAGTGAAGTTTGGAAAAGCTTTCATAAGGACATTAGCAACCGTGAAAATGAATGAATATGCAGACTTTTTGATAGAAATTGAACCTTTGTAAAGAAAAATGTATAAGAACTGCCTTCTGGTGAAGTTAAATGCAACACGTTTTTTCTTAGAAAATTAACCCATTTGATCAATATGTCAAGTGAAAATGTTTAAAGTTTCTTAAAATGTGCGGCGAAGTATTATGGAAAATTGGGGCCAAAATACGCAAGAATATTTTGTAGAACGGAACTTCTTATCACTTCTAATCTGGAAGTCACCTAAGCGTTTCATTTTATCCTGTCATTTTTAAGTTTTCTGGGACTGGGTTATAGATGCTGATGCTGCAATTCTGTATTTTGAAAATGGATTTAATTTTGCTGATTTTTGTTACTTGCAATCGGATATGTTGTTAATTTGTCCTTTTTCAAGTGAAGTTGGTTTCAAGAGGTTTACATATATAAACTTTACAATTTTTTTTTTTGTTTGTCGCAGCGAAAGGAATTTCGAAAGAGGCAGACAACGATATGTTGTTAGAATCAGATAACAATAAGATGTTGGAAAGTGCGAATGTAGTGGACAATGGAATTGTAGGACTAGATGGTATGATTGTGCCCGAAGTAGGTATGAAGTTTAGCGATGAAAAAGAAATGTTTGATTTTTACAAACGATATGCGTACAATGTAGGCTTTCCGATTAGGAAAAGAAATTCGCAAAAGGATGATGATGGAATTGTAAGATACGTTGTGTTTACATGTAGTCGTGAAGGTCGTAGAAGTAGTAACACAAGCGGTTCTATGAAGACGCAAGCTACCATTCAAACGGGTTGTAAAGCTAGGTTGACTGCATCATTAGATGCGTGCGGAGTATGAAAAATTAACACAGTCAATCTCATTCACAATCATAAAACCAGCCCTTCGAAGTCCAGGTTGTATCGTTGCAACCGAGAATTGAGTGCCCATGTGAAACGACGTCTTGAAGTGAATGACATGGCAGGGATTCCTTTACATAAAAGTTACAATTCAGCGGTTGTAGAAGCAGGGGGGTATGAGAATATGACTTGCATTGAGAAGGATTGTCGAAATTATGTGGAACAGGTAAGGCGGTTAAAACTGGGCGAAGGAGATGCTGCAGCAATTCAGTTATACTTTTCGAAAATGCAGTCAATGTGCTCTGGTTTTTTCTTTAGTATGGATTTAGACGAGGAGTCACGGTTGAGGAATATTTTCTGGGCAGATAATAGGAGTAGGTTGGCATATAAGGAGTTTGGGGATGTTGTAACATTCGATACTACATACCTAATGAACAAGTATGACATGCCATTTGCGCCTTTTGTTGGAGTTAATCATCATGGGCAATCAACACTCCTTGGTTGTAGTTTGTTGTTAAACGAAAATACAGAAACATTTGTGTGGCTTTTCAAGACTTGGCTTCAGTGCATGCATGGACAAGCACCCCTCGGTATTATTACCGATCAAGACAGGGCCATGCAGAATGCAATTCAAATTGTGCTCCCGAACACAAAACATAGATGGTGTTTGTGGCACATATTGAAAAAGTTGCCAGAGAAATTTGGACACCACAGCGACAAGGGTGAAATATTTTCTGCCATACATGTACTGGTGTATGATACTGAAACCATTGACGAATTTGAAGAGGGTTGTAGTGCGATGATAGAGAAGTATAATTTGCATGACAATGACTGGTTGTCAGGATTGTATTCGAACAGGGGCCGTTGGGTACCTTGCTATTTGAAATGTATGTTCTAGGCTGGAATGTCAACTACTCAACGTAGTGAGAGCATGAATGCATTCTTCGACGGGTATGTGCACTCTAAGACGTCGCTGAAGTAATTTGTTGAAAAATACGAGCGAGCTTTGAGGAATAAGGTAGAGAAGGAGTTCCAGGCAGATTTCAAATCTTACTCACAAATGGCTCCATGTGCAACGAAATATGAGCTAGAGAAGCAATTTCAAGTAGTTTATACCATCTCAAAATTTAGGGAAGTTCAGGATGAGTTCATTGGGAAGGTCTACTGCGATCTCATATCTTCGTCAGAGTGCTTCTCAGGGACGAGGTATGAGGTATTGGAAGATGTCGTACATGACGATCGATTGAAGAGAAAGAGCTGTTATGTCACTTTTCAAAAGGAGAAATGTGAAATCGTATGTAGTTGTCACCTCTTTGAGTTTCGAGGAATAATTTGCAGGCATGCGATCGCTGTACTCATCCGTAATAACATCACTTCACTGCCCAACTCCTACATATTACAGAGATGGAGAAGAGATGTGAGTTGGGCCCACACCAAAGGTCGCAGCCAACTACGATGGTTTGAGTAGCAGTCCAGCCCAGTTGAGATATGACAAATTGTGTCAATCATTTGCTTCTCTTGCGAACTTGGTTGCAAAGGACGATGAGGAAAGTCGTGAGGTAATGGAATAGATAGATTGCAAAGAACGAACAGTGGGTTTGACGAGGTCGACTGGTGGAAGTAATAGCTTAGCACAGCAGGCTTCTCAGACAACGTTACATGATGGAGATGGAGCATCACATCACTCTGTCATAGGAAGTGTACAGGACCCAAAATGCTCGAACAGAAAAGGTGCACCAAAGAAACTCCGCAGGAAAAGCTGTTTGGAATCAAATTCTAATAACGCAAAGGTATGTTCGCAATTTCTTTTGTTTCGTTAAAAAGTGAGTAGTGGTAGTAATTATTTATCTCGTGTGCAGTCCCGTCCAACTTCAATTAAGGGAAGGAAAACGAAGGCAGGCCTAAGTAAACTGGGAGAAGTTGGATCGATTTCATACGCCATGCAGGCACCAGTCTCATATTCACAACTCCTAATGGTTTGTCTCTTTACATTGTTAATAGAATATGATTTGCACTTTTTATTTACATTATACTATGGTGCAGGGTGCTGCCGAAAGTCCTGCATTTACGCAACAACAAATGTCTCCCAATTTCATCCCATTGGATCCAACAAATGCCATGTTGTATGGTTCAGGTAACGATATGGTTTGTCTTCGTTATTTTTTTCAAGTCATACGTCGCCTGCATAATAACTTTGATTATTTCGCAGTTGGAAATGCAATGTCTAATTACTAGCCATATGTACCTAACCAAGGTGGACCGAATATGTGATGCTAGATGAAGCAGTTTTATTTTTGCAGAAGACGACTCGGTGCAATCTTCATCCTCCTTCCTTCTCAATTTTGTTACTTGTAAGAGTGGAGATGCATGTAATACAAAATAAAAGCAAGGACAATGATTGAGAAGGTTAGTAGTTTGTTTTAACCCCAAAATTTCACATTAATAAGCAATACCAAACACGAGTATTTATCCTCGTAGCTTAAATAAATTTAAAATAAGTAATATCTTTTTCAACAAGTTAAACTTCTGAAATAATTGAAAATTAATAGCATGTTATTCAAATCCAATTTTAAGAATGGCATCGGGCCCCAAAACAGCAAGCCTTTGTTATTGTTATTATGTAAAAATAGTTGGTAATACATGATGTTTGATATTCAAGTGACATCTTCATTTTTTGAATAATTATGCCTCCAAGTCCAAGACTTTAAGGAGGTGGTAGACCTAAGTGTGTTAGGTAATGGCCTTTCATTTGAACAGCACAGACATGTAATTTAATTAACATAATTCCCTTGCTGCTTTTAGCTCTACACTTGATTAGAAGGCTTATTCATGTAGTGCACTTAATTTTGAGGGTTAGAGATGCTTAACTTTGTGATAGTAATAATTTTTCATTAATAAATCTATATCTCACTGCCTGTGACAGTGATAAAACTTGATGGAAATCAAACACTTGCTTTTGGCCGACTCAATCAACAGTGTGCTTGATTGTGTATCTAAAGTAGGGTTAATTTCACCAACGGTCTATTTTATTTCTATTATGTCTTATGAAACTGGAAAACTTCTTCCTTGAGCAATGAAGACTGCTTTGGATATGTTTTTCATGATACTTTTATATTTTTCGATGTTAATTTGACTCTTTGCTTTGAGGTTATATGCCAATTTTCAGCAGAGTTAGTAACAACTGCCACATTTTCCTTTTTGCTAATGTCATTTCAGATCTCATACAAAAATGAAGAACCCGGAGGTTTTGTTTGACATATTGATTGGAAAGAGATGGAAATTGCCCAGTCTGAGTTTGCACGTGCCAGATACATGTGTAAGAGAGCTCGGGAAGAAGTCGAGAAGGCTGAGAAAATGAAGGCTATGGCCTGTAAACAGATTGATTCTACCTGCAGGGAAATCACTTGCCAGTGTTGTAGAGGAAAGTTTAGTTAAAAACTGCTAACCAGATTTTGAGTCTATGTTGGAGGATTAAAAAACCACTGGTTGTCACTCACTTTTAGCTGAAATTTCATGTTCATCACTCAACTTCATTTTCTTCCAAGTTTATCGTTGGTTGCTAAACATTTGTTACAATTTAATAAATCCGTCCATGTCCGTCAGTCTGGAAAATGGAAAAGCTGACAAACATTTTAGTAGCAAATAACTATAAGACTCCTGTAATTTACTTCCTATGATAAGAGTAAATACACGATGGATTTGAATTGGCATTGCAAAATGCAGTCTTTGACACTTCAATCTCTACTAGAAGTTCCTTTACTGAATCTTTTAATTCTTGGGTTCCTCATAATTTCATTTTTCGACTGAACTAATCACTTAATCAGTTTCTCATAACCCAAATAATCAATTTCAAGGTTTCTTTTCTCGTGAGAATCAACAAACATAGCTTTACGTACGGTAACCAAAAATAATATTTCACACACAATAGCTTTGCATAAAAATAACTTCAACGCAAAATTCATAACACGAAGACAACAACATGACCATTTGCGAGGAATAATTTTCAGGCCAACACCTTAGTGCAAACACCAATATTAACAAAATACATCAACTACACTAATCACTTATTCAGCTACCCACAAATCATGCTAGCCCCTTCCCTTTCATATCCACTTCTGCACTTTCGTTGCCATTCCTTATTGTCACATTTAAAGAAATCTCAATGTTTCGTTCCTTAGACACCACGTGACAAAGAGACTGGAACATGCGAGAGAACTGCTGAACATCTTCAAGTGCTGCATGATTATTCGAGTTCGCGGTAACATTACTTGACCCACTGCTTGATTCTCCCTCATCGACCCATGCCCAATATTTACAATTAGCACTGCAGCACTCGAACAATCTTCCCTTGTTCTTTGTCTCCCTCTCGACCTCAAAGCACTTCACAATTCCACATTTACACAAGGGGCATCGCCTTTTGTTTGGGCAATCCGCAAACAAGTGACCTTTCCCTCTACAGCTATGACAAAGTCTGGAGTTCTATCCCGGCATACTACACACAAACGACACACAGATCACACTACATTAAACAACATTTTTAACAAAATCCCCTTGCTCAGTGGAATCAAGATATTCACAAAAATCGAATTTCAAACCAAACATGAATGTCAAGAACCATATCAATAATAACATTAACAAACTTACACATTCAACCCACTCTTTACATGCCACCAGAAGAAAACAAAAGGGCTTCAACATTATACACTATGTCTGAGATTATGCCTATCAAATTGACGGACGAGTCTAAATTCTATTATTCATGTGGTCACACATCAAAGGCTTTTTCACAATATTGAACTCTATTATGCGTTACCTTACTGCTGGTAGGTAGAAACATTTCTCTTCAGATTTGTGAGATTTTCACTTATAAATTATATTTAAAAATTACACAAACCCTTCAAATAAATATTTCTAACAGTTTACAAGTAGATTTTATTCCTATTGATTATTATTCACACAAATTACGTACATTCACCATCTCCAAACAATGGAATGACTCGAGATTGAAAGGCATACTAATGAAGTTCGAAACTTTGCAGTCCAGACTGCCATATGTTCAAAACTAGCCCAGATTATCATATATTCGAACCTTGTATGTATTTGAAATGGAGTTCGAAACTATGCAGCCCAGTACGTCGGGTTCTTAGAAGAAGTAGGGCTGACAGTGAGATTTTTCCTTTTCTTAAAACATAAATTACTTCCCCACAGTAAAAAGAAATGCCCAAATATTCTACTTACATAATATTGCTCAAGATATCGCCGGAGAAGAAGGCCTCAGGGACGGGCGATTTTGCTCTAATCTTGCGGCTAAATATTTTTTCCTCACAACCGTGCGCTTAACTTCGGGTGGAAAACAAAATCATGGAGATGACCACAATATTTATCATCGTCTTCTCAATATGGTGGAGCGCAGCTGCAGATCTCCTCGCATCAGTTCGTTCAGTAGAGAGGGTTTTCTGCCTTGGGGCAACTGAGAAACTGAAGAAATGTGAGCGTAAGCGGGTTTCTTCACTTTGGGCCGGTTCAAGACATGTTACCCATTAACCCATTAATACGTTTTCTTCACCACGTCACCGTGTAACCCGACAGGTAAAGTGGCGTGTACGTGTAGCGGGATTGTTAAAACTTTTCCAAAAGAGAAAGTCTTATGACCGCTAGAATAAGCTAAGAAAGGGCCAAAATATGGCTGCAATAAATGAGACTTTACCCAAAGTAGAAGGCACCTCAGACCGCCACCAGAATACGCAAAAAAGTAATCTGAAAATAGATGAACAAGGCTACAAATTCAGGAACCCAGCACTGACCGAAAACAGTCCAGCAACGATCAACAATTGCAGAGACGAGAAGACCACCAATACATACAATATACATACAGTCCAGCAACAAGAACACACAGTAGTCCCAGGTAGAGCAAGAATCAATCTCCAAACTGAATTGAAGAAGATAGAACCTGAAGAAGGCTGAAAAACCCGAAATAGCACAGCCCCCAAACAAAACCAAGCTGGAAGAAAAACTGAGAGGCACCCAGCAGACGTCCAACCAAGCAAGATGAAGAGCTGCAGTTAGACAAACACGAACCAGAAAGCCAGCAACTAAACAGAAACTGCCAAACCCAACGGGACAGAAAACTGTCTTGAATGAACAGCAAAAAATCAGGAACAAGTCTGACCAAGTCAGCAATAATCAACCTGAAAACGGCTAGCCAAACACTAGAAGATTCACAAGAAATCTTTCAAGGCAAGTGTGCACCAAGTGGGACTTTCTCTCACTAGGTTGAGAGCATCTCTCTCTAACTCGCTTGTCCAGTATTCATCAATGGAAATTAATGCAGCAACATCTTGCTATTGAATAAGCTTGATGATAGTGACGAGTTCTTATGTTTTTGCAATCATAATAGATTTGTGAATCGTGCTGGCGTATAGGGACCTGTTTTATAGACACCTGCCAGACAACACTAAGTGTGGGCCCTAGCACAAATTTTTTTTTCATGTGGAACCGACCCCTACAGTGAGGGGTCGGTAAAACCCTTGTAGGAGAATGCTCTGTCCTAGATTTGTAGCTTTGCCCTGCAAATTACTGTGAAAGATCATGAAATTTGGTGAATCTGTCCTGATAGGCTGAAGAGATGGCTCCACGGGCGAACCCGCATGGGGTCATGTGGGGTCAAATGACCCCACAGTTTTCTGATTTTTTTTTTTTTTTAATGCTGAAAACTTAATTTTCTGCCTCAAAAAGTCCAAATTCTAAATCTATATCCATATCACATGGTCCATATCCATTATTTAGTCCATAAATATATCATATAATCCAACGATTTCTTCCCAAAGTGCACATATCGAATATGAACAGTAAACAACCGATTTTTCCTTTTTTTTCATGATACGTTGTTCGAAAAAAAAAAATTTTGACCCCACAGTTCAAATGGTCTGGGTCTGCCCCTGGATGGCTCAGACATTCAGGCAAAGAATTGCTCAAGCAAAAGCAATGGCTCGTGCTATCATGTTCAGATTCCATCCCGAGGTGAGTTCAATTTCGAATTTATTTATTTATTTATTCATTTATTTGTTTTTTTTTTGGGTGTGTTTGTTTGAAGATTATCCTTGGTCCATTAGTCTTCAGTTTGAAGTAAAAGGAAAGCAAGAAAGTTGAACCAAAAAAGTGGTCAGGAGTTGGCACATGGAGTTTTCGACTACTTTTACTGCTAGAGGCTCATTTTTGTTCGCTTAAAAACACTGAATTTTTACCAAAATGGTAAATAATAAAAAGAAAAAAAAACACGTGGAGGGATTCTCTTTTCCTGTGTCAATGGGAATTTTTCATCTGGAGAACTTTTTCACTGATGTCCACACACCAGAGTTGCCAAAAAAGAACAGATGAGCAGGCATTATGACTTGATGATGTTAAAGGGATAAAATGAAAATGAATAGCCATAAGCATTTGGACTAATCTAGAAGGAACCCGAGAATATAATATTACAGCATCGATATGTTGGAAGGCCATTTCTGTTTCACAGCCAGAAGACACTATGAAGGTGTCCATCCCTACAGAATTCTAATTTGAATATCATACAAGACCATGTTGCTTAGTTAATGCACCTCTATGAAGTTGATTGACCCTCAACTCTGATGGGATCTTAGGACCTATGACTTCAGACTTGCAGAAGGTTTAGACTTAAGTCATATCCCCCCAGCTGAAGAGTGATTAAAGACGTCGCGCCTACTTTTATTGTTTATCTTATGAGGATTTAGGCAAAAGGTTTTTTTTAGCCTTTGTCAGTAGATTGTCATCTATTAACATCTCCATCCCACATTATTCATTTTCCTCCATGTCTGCATTTAACGTTCGTCATGTCAAAATCAATACCACAAGAATTCACAAGCAATGAGTTTCTTATCTCTAGAAGTCACATTCTTCAATAGACTCCCAGATTTTGTGTGTAAACTTCTGTGTGGATACATACAATATTCCAGTCCTTTGCATGTGTATCTTCATTTTTGACTGCCTATGTAGTGAAGGCATTCAACATAAGAGGTACATTATGAACAAAGCTTAATTAGCTATCTCCCCTGTTTGTTTTCTTGCTTCTCTTCTGCTTTTGCTTAAGCTGAGTGAGGCCTGCTGCTGAAATCTTCACATTACCAATAATAGCAGCAACAAGCTCAGGATCTGTGCAAGCCTTCATTAATTCCTTCTCTCTGCCTGTTGCCTCCGGTATGTGATTAAATAAATTAATGGCTGTCTTTGCCGCTGCATAAAGTAGTAGCAAAAGTCAATATGAATAGCTCATGGGAAAAAAAGGGGGGTAAACTAAGCAATAACAGAAACCGAAAAAGACAAGAAAGTAATGTCCCACTCCCACGAGCAATTACGGATTCCTTCAACATTAGCAACAAAATAAATACGCATTTCTGAAATTCTTTGAAACCAAAAGAACACTCCAATTTCAGCTGAGGGGGATGAAGCATGAGAATATATTTTCAACAGTGGCAAGTAACAAAATCTATCTTGAAAAGAAGAAACTACTAAATATAGATACCTTTTCCTTTCTTTAATGTTCCTGGAATTATCTTGACTCGATATTTATATGATTGTACAGCACTGTAAGGACCACAGACAGGTACTGCGTACAATAAGACATCATTAGGCAGCGGATTTCCAGTCAAGTAATCCACATCATTTAATTTCTCTCTCTCTTCTTCACCAATCTCATGAATATCATCTTCTTCCATGGTCATCCTGTCCATCCCATTTGAAGCTTTGTTCCCTCCACTACTTGCATTATTAAGCACCGTTTCATCGGGCTGTTCTGGACAATCTCGAGACTTATGACCTGCCTTTTTACATTTGTAACAAATTTTTGAAGCATCTCCAGTTTCTGCAAATGAGGGCGGGAAAAATTTGCATTGTATAACCATCAAAAGAAGTACTTCCTTAGGAAAAGATTGACAGAAGCATGAGAACACTATTAAGACTTGAGATTTCGTTTTAAAAAGTCAACCTTGTTAAGAAGAGTAGCTCAAGAACTTATAAATTGGTCTATATTTTCATCTTTATTCAATGTGAGATTATATCTTTTAACAAACACAAAGAAAATGAATATGTTAGTATAAATGACCTCATCTTTCATTCAACACATTATCTTAGGCTGGTTATGCATTATGGAATTATCTATTCACCGGAGCATAATGTGCAGATCCAATAATCTAGACTACAACCATAGTTCTCAATTATTTGGAGATACAATCGGGCCACATAATCTGTGGACTAATACCTTTGGCATGATTTTGGTTCGTTCAAAAAGTCTGATTCCAATATCCATGCCGAACGTAATTGTTCTTTCAAAAAGTTCAGTACAATCAAATTTGTAAGCCAATTCTTGAGTTGCAGAAAAGTAAAGATGAATAATTTTCGCTATTATCTAGCAACGAATAAACGCCCTGCTCTGTACAAAGGCAGTACACTTTTTTCCCAAGGAAGCATGCAGTATTGTCAGACCAAATAAACACAGAGTTTACTTTCAGCAAGTAAAGTGATTAGCAAGTGAATGCACATAACCATTTTTTATTTGATATTTATAAACCAAAATCTTACTGGTAGTTGCTTTTCCTTGTCCTGGAGTGGCCTTTTCATCCACAGACATCACATTGTTTGTTTTCGATCTTCCAGCAGGCTGTAGATTAATTGTAAGATCAATATGTCAGCAACTTATAAGGTACCAGTAATAAGATTACTTGTCCTGTTTCTTTGCAAGTTATTGATGACAATAATTCCCTTCTCTTTTACTATAACCAGAACCTCAATTCAAAGGGGGAAGGGAGCTTTCTAACATCGTATACATAGATGTATGCATATTAAACTTTTTATATAGCTCGTATTTCAGATTTTTTCAAGACAAAGTAAATAAGTTCAAGTTATCTTTGTATTTGATAGAATCTTACAATACTACAATCCAAACCTAGTAGCTGGATTTAATGAATTATAACTTAGCAATACTTACAGCCAACAAAGCAATTCGGATGCTTCGCTCCTCCTCGTCTTGATCTGCATACTTCTCCCTTATCTTCTTCAGTTTACCTCTCTGTCCACGGCTAATTTTGGCACCATTTGGTTTCGATTTTTTAACATTTTTATCAGGGTAACTTGCAGTGTTATGATTTTCTTCCACCTCTTGTTTTTCAGGGTCAACAGTAGCACCTTCAGTATTATCTTTTTCAGCACGATTTTCTTCCACTTCTTTTTCATGGTAAACGGAAGCCCCTTCAGTATTATCTTTTTGACCCTTGAGCTTTCTTCTTTCAGCTTTGGAAATATAAGGTTTTTCTCTCTTTGTTTGCTCCTTGGTTTGTTCTTCCACTGATTCCCCTCGAGAAGACTGGAGTCCATAATTTTTTGCAGATGCAGCAGCAGATCCAAGCCCAAGAGCTCTATCAATAAGATCCTCCAGTTGTAAACTGAAAGCAGTAGTGCTTTTCCCAGAAACTTCATCACCATCATTGTAATTCGTTGAAGCAGTAACTCCAATTGCTGAGTCATGTGAATTACTAGATTTATCAATTGAAATATTTAAGCCATTGAACGATTCTGAAGAAAAATCCTCTTTGGTTGGTCTTTCTGTCAACAATTCCATGGTGCTGGGTGATTCTACTGTGGCTTTTTCATCCAAGACTTCATTTTCAGAATCAGAACCAGAATCAGATACTTCTCTAAAAGGTTCAGTTTGCTCGGTGTCATTCATTTCTTCCCCTTCCCCTTCACCTTCACCTTCACCTCTTACTCTCCTTTCATTCAAATGAGATCCCAAGGAACTCTCATCCAAGCGAAATAAAATTCCAAAACCCATAATAAGGGGGTGTGGTGGAAGAAAGTTCTTTTTACCACGAATCATGAAGCTACCAACTGTAAGATATTCCCCTGTGGGAGCTGTTTTACTGACTTGGTGAGGGTAAACCCACCAAGCACTAGTCACAATTTTTGAATCCCAAGCCTGGCTATGGCTGACCTACACAACAATGTACATTGTGAATTTGCTTATACTTCCATTGCAAAGACATGATTGTAGACAGAAAATATAATTGCAACTCACTGTGAAACATCCTGCTTGGTTCAAGGAGAGAGGGGGTACACTGGATTCGGGCTTGTGATTCTTTATCACAGTGCTAGAAGCTCCATGAAGATCTGCATGGACATACCTGTATTTCACAAAAATTGATCACTTCCCTGATGATATAACAGTTTTTTATCTCTCGTGATGTACAATATAATCTTTGATTTTTGGTTTTGTGGAGAAGATAAGTGTAGGGAGAGATGCTGGGGATGAAAAGTAAATAAAGAACCATTTACTACTACCAAGAGCTAGCAATTTCTCAGTCAATAAATTAAAATCAATTCTATAATCCAAAATTTGTTTCTCGCGAATAAGCAGTAACATATTTATATGTAATATATCATTTTCAGCTTCAATCAAGCCCCACAAGTAAACAACAGAAAGAAACATAAAATAAATAACAGAGAAGCTATTCATGGATGAGAAAACATCCTGAGCTGAAGTAAGAGAGGTAACATCCATCTGATGACTGAACAGTACCCATCATGTATTTTAACATTATTTTTCACTTGTGAAAAGTTCCTGAAAACTTTGTAGAAGCTCTATCTAAAACTTCTTGATATCAAATCTATACACGAAACCCCATAAAAAAAGGCTAAAAAGAATGTATTTTAACAATTTACTCACAGATCTCCTTTAGACATATAACGTTTGACTATCATCTCATTCTGTTGAGCATCACGTCCACTGATAACCAGATAATTCTCACTGCTGATGAACCAATTGAATTTTTCAAACCAATGAACTTTGCGCATGTGTGAAATTGTGGCTACCGTTTTCTCCTGCAAATTATGTATAAGGTAAGTATTACCACCTCACAAGAAAAGGATATCAATACAGCTCAAGAAGATGTATCAGTATGGTAAGCAAATGTTATGATAAGCCCCTATTTGAGCCCCATATTTTGGAGTATATGCTTTCTATAATAGTAATTTTTTAAAAATGGGGGAAAAAGTTTGGATTTATGTGTAAATTATTTTATATGAGAATATGCGGTTGATATGAGTTTTGAAAAAACAAAAAAAAAGTAAGAGGGGCTAAGTAATATCGCAGTGACCTTCCCACCATTAATTTATAGTTTCCAACATTAGAATTTACATCTCAACTACTACTTAAATATGATCTCCAAAAGATGCTAAGGAAGACAACAATTAGTTATTCGTTCATTAGTGTCAATCCAATTAGCATACTGAAAATTTGCGTAAATTTATAACACGTGAACTTTGTTGAAGGTAAAAACTGGATCAAATAATTTTATTGATAAATGATTACAATTAAAGATCAATGTAAATACAATTAACAAATCCTCTCACTAACTATGAGTTTCACCTCTTAAATTTACCAGGCTAGATGCTTAAACAAGAACAAGAGAAAAATAGCTATAAGAGATGGAGACATTTGAATTGCATGCCATTTCTCAAATGGAGGGTGGGTATTTATAGATTTTACTCCAGGCGTTGGGGTAGTTTGGTAATTCTTGTGCTGTGCCAGGTGGCTACCTCTAATTGGTAGTTTTATAACTTGGTTAAGAATCACACTTATTCACTTGTCTACATGCTCTTCTTTAATAGCCTGTAGCCAGCCTACAATTGGCTAGCGGTTTAAGATCTTTATGCAAGCCTTCTGTTTTTTTGCTCTCTTCGCATGCTGCCTTTCTCCTCACCAATGGGTATATGAGTTCACAGATTTTGTTCTGGGGGTTAACAAACTTCAACCACAAGAAATATTCATCCTTATTATAGAAGGGTAACAACAGTACTTTAAAACTTTATACACTAAAACGAATTGTGTTCCTTCATTATGGGAAAATAAAATCTTCCTTCACTATTTCCTGATGATTATGAGAAAAATGTCACATTGAAAGCACCAAGCCTAGGTATATTTTCCTTATACATCTAAAAATTGTTTCTTTATTTCTTCCTCTTCAAAAGGTTTCTCCACTTCTTAAATCAGAGACCAATCTACGACTCAGTCACCAGATGTTTATCAACTTCGCTTGAATAATCTCCTATAAAATGTGTTCACTTACTAATTTCTTCCAATACTGAATCAAGCTCAAATTCCTCAATGATGTTTCTCCTACTAATGCTGTTTTCCACTTTATTGAAAAACTTGGAATCATAATTGCCTTCTTCACTCATTTTAATTCTCCTAAGACCCCAACTTCCCCTAACAGAATTTTTTATACTAATTGTCTCAGTTAAACTCTCATTTAATACCAGGTTCCTTCAACGCTGAACTATCGCTCAAAGGGACCTCAACATGTGACATGGTCAAAAGACTAAACAAGCACAACACTTCAAAAATTTTGAAAAGCAAATTATTAAAACCACCAACCAAAAAGGGAAAAAAAAGTGTTGCCCTTGTTCCTTAAAAAGAGACTAGCGATTCTCTGAGATGTAATTGTGTGCATCAAGATATATCAGTTCAAATTGATGTTAAGAAGATCCACATGCACGTAAAAGAAAGGAAAAATCTACGTGGAATGCCAGATTGGTTGTCTAAAATGTCCGCTTGATCTGTGTTCTCTAATCTTCAGAAATCTTTATGTCAGGCAACAGCAAAATTCCATTTACAAAAGGATCGGTAACTGAGCTAAACAAGATTCATATGATTCAAAATGAAACATCAAAAATTTAAATTTCAAAAAAAAATAAAAATAAAAATAATTATACTAGCATCTCAACAAATAGAGTTAAAAGTGAAGGTCACTAAATTATTCAGCTACCTGTGACAGTTGTTGACGGGACTTTCTCTCAGCAGCCTTGAAAGCTTTCTCATGTGATGTAACGGTCTTCTCCTGTTTACTCTCCTGTCTTTTCTTCATTTCATAATACCTTCGAGCATTTGCATGAGCCGAAAGTGCCAGATCAACTTCTATCTAGAAATATGCAACCGCAAAATTCATGCTGAGCATGTATATAAGAGCATGGAAAGTTTCACTCAGTTAAGCAAAATCATACAGCCAACAATTGTTAATTTTGTCAGAGTACACAAAACATTTCAAGACCTCAATAAAGATGAGACATAATATTCATATGATTGTACTTGCTTAGCTTCATGCATATGAACATATTCCTTTCCATCGTTAAAGTACACATAGCACAGCTAACAACGTCATAATTTTGAAATGTGATGGATGCAGAGTGGCGAAAGGTGATAACTCTTAACTTCATACCATACCTTGTCCACAGGTTGTGTCTTCTCATCATCATCCATCTCATCAAGATTGTTACTCAGGAGCAGTGTCATGCAATTTTTTTCAAGGTGAAGCTTGTCAATGAGGCCAGCAACTGGGTTTCCAGATTTCTTCTCTTCTTTCACCATGCGTGCAAGATCATCCCAGCTCATACCATTGGCAAGAGCTACACGAACTGCTAAGATAGCAGCATCTACATCTTCCAAGTTATATTCTATTAGTTCAGCCATTCTAACACACTGTTCAACCTCTTTTCTCAGTGCATGTACACGGCTTTCCTGCAGCATCAAGTAAAAAGCATTTAATACTAGCAGCAGCATTCAATATCAACCCATGGAATGCAACACTTAGCTTAATTAGTTTCAACATGCTTCTTCAAAATTTAATTTAATTTAATTTAATTTTTCAAGATATCCTTAGGGATGGCAGAATGTTCTGGCCCCCGGACCACACTGTCCTGCCCCGAACGCCCCACCCTGTTATTTTTATTTTATTTTATTGTTATTAAATTATTTAAAAATCAATAGATAATCATTATATTAGATAAACAAATGAGTAAATGGAGAAATGGGGATATTAAAATCCCCACCCAGGAAAATCCCGGGCAGTGTGGGGTCAAGAAGGGTCGCACCATCCTGCCCTGTTGCGATCCCTATAAATCCAGACATAAATACAGATGTTTAAAATAAGTGTTAACTAATAACCCAATCTACACATTTCAGGCATAATTCATAACATAAACGAAAAGGAATAATTTCAAACTTTTTTAGTCCAAAGAAATTTTATATGTATGCAAGTGATGCACCTGATCAATCCGTATTTTATTAAGCTTCTGCATAGCAGAGTTCTCTTTTGCCATTTGGTGTTGTTCAGAACGCTGACTCTCAATTTTACTGTAGAATTCATCTAATGCAACATCAAATGATTCAAACTTGGTGGAATCCCTTGATTTGAACTGATTCAGCAACAGCGGGCAGAATTCATCGTATATCTGTACAAGTGAAAAAACACTATAAACATTGACATTCATCAGGAAAAGACATCTATGTGCATCCTTGAGTGCATAAAATTAGTGATAGCTGAAAATATCAAAGGTAACCTGCACAGAAGTTCCTTTGTCACCCATGGAGTCATTCTTTTTCCCAGAATTCTTTTGTTGCATTAGGATGTATCCTTCTGGAACTTTCTCACCAGTTATAACATCTGCCAGCCAATCTTCAAACCTTGCAACAGCTTCAGCAAGAACCTGGATGGTATCATCTTCCAATTTGAAGTCCTTCCCGATTCTTGTGCTTGGAATCAAACTGGCATCTAATATAATATGTTCTGATAGTGCAGGGCCATAACCTAATGCTTCCCCAAGAACAACCTTCAGGGTTGCCTGCTTGGCATGAGCACTATCACTTCTATTCGATTCAGCAGGCTTCCTGCTCTTATGGCTGCCTAACTTCCCTTTAGGCGCACTGGAATTATTTCCCTGTTCATTACTATCTAGGCCCTCACCTTTACCAGATTCCAAAGAAGATGTTACGGCTTCCCACAACCTTTCTCTAGTTGTACGCTCAAAAGTTCGGCTTATTTCGACTGGATAGCGATGGCGTGACATGATTGAGATTCCCTTATCATCATCCCTGTTATTGATATCAGTTAGCATTCAAAAACTTTTCTAGATAATGAAGCCCAAGAGATGCAGCTAATAAATAGAAACATATGCTGTGTAGCAAATGAAGAGAAAAGATACTAGGATTCACCTACCTGTGCGACCGCAGGAGAGTCAGGACAGTATAATCTGAGTCTGTGAGAAGAATATTCCCTTGGGCATAGAGCTCCAAAATTACATAGTGAGCATTAACCCCCAATCCAAATTGGAAGAGTATTATCTAAACACATCATCAAATTCAAAGTTATGATATCCTGTTAAAAGATGATTGTTTCTTAATCAATGAAAAGTACAGAAGCCTAACAGACATACTCTGTCATATCCAAGTTGTCTAACATCCTCAAGCCTTCTTGTTCGTATGTGTTTCCGTAATTTCAATGTAAAGCCAGATGGAGTATTGCTTTTGTCCCTGTCAACCCGTAAACAAAATCTCTATATGTTTAGAAGAAACTCAATTCAGTTCCCACTTACAAAGTTTTCCTCTCTTTGTTTGGCATAGACCTTGGTTAAGCATATCACATTTCAATCATATTAAGCTTTTTGCATTAAACAATAAACTCAGAAGCCTTAGGTTTCTCCTTTCTAGAAACCATAAGGTATGCACCAAATTTGCTCAACATTCAAGTCTTGTCTTTCAACTTCCTTAATATTTCACTTTATAGATTGAAATTAACACAAAACTTCAGTTGGACAAGTAACAAATCACATCATTGTTTACATGAATCTTTCATTCTCGAAACTTAAGCTTTGGGTGCCCTTCATCAAGGCTTTGCCTCCAGGGAACTAGCTTGTCTTCCCTCTCTGGACTTATTATTACTGACCTCAGCTTTTTGGACTAGTTATTCTATAGCCTATGACATTTACAAGAGATGAGAACAAGTAAAGCAAGTGTGCCCCTACCTCCTACAATCTAAGTGCCATGCACCCTCTCCCAAGTGAAGTGCAACTATTTGCCACAGCTTTCACTCTTTTTCTTTCCTTTATATTTCTCTTGTTGTCTTTTGATTTTTTTTTCTTTTTCCTCCTATTATGTATTTCTATAGGGAAGGTCAAGCATAAGGCTTTATTGAAACAGAAAGCAAGTGATAGGAACCAAATGTGCTGATAAACCTCTGAATGACTCTTTTTAGGGAATCAAATATGCTGATAGATTGTATATTTAGTTCTAGTAGTATATTTCAACATGGTTTACGATTCATTAACGCATCAACCTTATAAAGCAGTTAATGAAGGAGATTTCTGAAAATTATATCGAAGATAAGCAGTGGTATGCAATCTGACACCACTTACTAGTATATTTCAACATGGTTTACGATTCATTACAAGTAAATTAACGCCTCAACCCTTATAAAGCTGATAATGAAGAAGATTTCTGGAAATTATACCGAAGATAAGCAGTGGTATGTAATCTAACACCACTTTCCATCAATAGCAACACCTTTTCGCTCTCCCCCGACTCCGTAACTCCGCTGCTATTCATCAGCTTAAACACATAAGTCTGCAATATATTTTCATTTTCATTTTCATTTCAATATATGTAACAACAATTTATATAACACGAATATTTCTTCTAAAAGCATACAGAAATTGAAAAAAATAAAAATAAAAAAATTGAAATATATAGAGACGTGAATACCTTAGGAGAAAGGTCGTAGACATTAGAGCAGCGCATACCGATTAGGCAACGGAGGCACTTCACCTCAGCCGCCACATCTGCCGTGTTCATTCGCGCTTTCACCATTTTTGTTGAATTCTAGTTCTTTTCCTCAAGCTAGATATGTTCGATCAAAATTGATTGTGCGAGAGTTTTGATAGCTGTAAGATCAAAGGGATGATATGATAAGGGACAGAGCCAGGAATTAATGTTAACTAAAGGCAAAAACTTTTAAAAAGTTAACATACGAATAAAATTCATAGAGAACAAAAAAAAATCTCAATATAACATTACATATTACAGTTATCCCCGATAATGTTTTACAGCATACCATCCATCTCTAATAGAATCTAAATCTAAATTCATATTAAATTCTCATTCAATGTGAAGTGTCATACAACCATCATCCATTTTGTTATGAATTTCCATCTTCAGGAGATGAAATTGGATGAATAGACACAGTACGAATTGAAGAACCTTCAGATTCGTGGTTCTTTGTAAAGAAAGATAACAAAGCTGTTCCTTTGTTGGCAGAAGGTCAATTTTGTTCCATATTAAAATCTAAAAGCATAACAAATTCAAAACACTTCAGTATCCCAACAATCCAAAAATAATCCACCAGCAACAATCCATCAAACACAATAATTTAGAGGAACACAGGAAGCAAAATGTGAAAATGAACAGCCGCTTTCGGGAGACCATTCTAAAAAATAATAGATATTTTTATTTGGACATAAAAACTTTCAAAATCTTGCTGCTTACATATCTTGAAAGGAAAATATAAATTTCACCTACTAAATTTAGAACCCATGTTTATGGAGATAGCTTTGCATTTCAAATATATCTATATCTATTCTTGCTAAGGCCAATTGCACACTTTTCTCAACCAAACATATCCAATTATCATGTCTTTCAAACATTTCATAATCCATTATTCAAATAATCAAAAATCCAACAAAAAACGCAGCCTTGGGATGGAAGAAGACAAAAACATTCACCTGTCTGCCACAAAACTTTAAACCAATAGCTGTTCGGCTTTCTTCACAGTTTTTGGGGGAAAGAAGTAAATAAAAAATCAAATATGATAATACTTACAATCTACAATAGCTGCGGTTTGGGGTCGATGGTCGGCGGCTCCGATCTGCGGGTGGATAGGGAAAGATTTAGGATTAGAAGGATTTGGGAATTTCAATTTGGTTTTCAATTTCTCAAATTGACGGGGTTACGTTGAAGAAAAGAAAGGATGAAGCGGGGGCTAAAAAAGAAACAAACAATTGGATAAAAAAATAAAAAAAAAATTGGTATTTAAAATTGGGCTGAACTAGTCACATGATATTAACTGTTGGTGGACCGTGGACTAAATTCAAGACTTTTTTCATTTAATTGGGATATTTTATTGGACGTGGGCTCGGACAGCACGGAGGTACAGATAAGTGTTGCTCACCAAATCCTCCCCTAATATGATTAAATATATATATGGGAAAATTTCATACAATTTAAGACTTGTTTCAAAACTGAAAAATAAAGTTTAAAAATTTAAAAATCAAATATTATTAAATTTTATTTAAGAGATAATTTATTAAAAATATATTTTATTAGTTAAATATATTAAGGTCACAATTTCATATAATTTGATTATAAATTATCGAATTAATTGATACCAATATATTTCATCCATTCGTTGCAACATCTTTGTAGGGACTTGTGCTGTATTTTTATTTCTATTCATACCAATATACTTAGTAATCTTCAATCAACTTTAGGGGAGTTAAAATGTAAATTGGTGATTGATATACGTTGGAGATTAAACTCGTGTTCAAATTTTTGATATATTTGTTTGTGTATATAAAAAATAGATTGGAGTTGAAGTATGAACTAATGGACATTACAATATGCTCCTGTTACCGCACCCCACGGTAATGTGTTGGAAAGTTTGTGAATTAATCTCTACCCCTGACTGTTGGGATTTTCAAAAGATTGATGATGTTATTTTGCCTATTGATAGCGACGTGATCAAGTCAATATCGGTGAGTGTCAATGATAGAAGTGATAAAATTATTTGGCACTGTGATGCACTGGAAAGTATACAGTTTTAGAGTGGCTATCAGTGTCTATTAAATGCAAAGATCAGTGAGGACCGAGTTCTTAGCATCTGTTGATCTGGTGGGAATTTCTTTGTAAATTAACCATTCGACCAAAAGTGAGGTTGTTCACTTCCCATAAATTATAATTTGGTTATGAGGTCGATCAAATCAAATGCTAGTTGCCTTCTATCCTATGGCGAGTGCAAGTACCAATTTGCTGTCTTAAATGTGGGATCTCATTGAACAAAAAGGGTGATATTATGACAAGGATCTCATTGTTTTACTGATCTGAGTGTTTGACCAGAAAACTACACAAACAATTAAGCAAAATCAGCACACATAAACTAACACATATCAAACCAATAACAGTAAATAAATAAATAAGAATTTTCAATCTATTAAATATACAAATGCATCAATTACCAACACATCTGCAAAAGGTTTACAGATGTAAGGTCATTAAAACAATTCACCAAATACGAAGCATCGATGTATAACCCCAAAAGATCTATGGTTTCAGACAAGATCTATTACTTAATTTTACTTTCTAAATTGATTATGAGAAAAACAAGAAAAAGAATTAAAAAGGCTAAAAAATCGAATCGACAAAATGAAATATAAATCATATCACAGATCTGCAAACATCCCGAAAAAAAAAAACCGAATAGACTATTCAGAGAAAGAATTGCCAGTGTATACAATTCAACTAAGCCCACCAATATAGCTATCTGATAATATTATTTTTGAATTTATGATTTGACATATATTTGTATGCGATGAAAATACTGTGGTAGACCGCGTGCCTATTGAAGAATGAGTCTGCGACTAAAATCATCGAATTCGGAATATGGTAAAGTGGTAGAGAGACCCAATCTTGAGTGAAATAAATACAGCGACTTCGATCTTTTATTGTCTCAATTCCCGGGGGATCGCACCATGGCGCTTTCGAACTAATAGGTTTCATGTTACAAGTCTGTGAAACATAAAATACTAGAAAATAGGAAAAATCTAGAAAGAAAATGCAATAACCAAAAGGAATTATTAGTAAAAAACCTTCTCCAACTTTTGAATTGTCCAAACAAGAACTTCGACTTCCCCAAAGCTTTTGGTAGCACAGTCGAGACAGCGATGGGTTCTTTGCCCCTACGGGGATGGAGGGACAGAAGTTTTGTCAACAACGAATCTAGCACCTGGTGAGCCCTAGCGATCGCTCGTGCTGGATTTGCCGGAACTCAATTTTTTTGGCTGTCAAAGTATTCATTTTTTTAGATATATTTCTGTGATTTCCTTTTATTCACACCAAGCCCTTATTGTTCAGCCGGTTAGAGCACCGTAGAAATGAAAGGAGGTCTTGGGTTCAACTCTCAACTGTTGCAATCCCCTTTTGAAATGATTTTAGCTTAAAATTTTCACCATTTTGGAGCAAATAGGCTTAAAATCGGTGCAGATGGAATATTTGAACCTATGATCTCTATTGGAATCATGCACGATTTGACCACTATGGCAATTGGTGATTGTTGACAATACAAGCAACAAAATCTATATATTCTTTTATCAAATAAAGGTATACACTTGCCATTTTCAGAAAATAAAATTTTTAAATAAAATTCGAGATTATTAAAATAGTCACATTTTCTATTAAACTGAAATTATTAGTAAATCGAACCAATAAAGTAAATAATTGGCCCATTTTTCAAACTTCAAATTTTTACTTGATAAACATTATTACACTAATAGATAACGTACACCCGCACTTACAATTCGAACTACAGTATAAACCCTTGTTTGGCCCCTTTTAAAACTTATCAATTTAATTTAAAGTTTTCCCTTTCCTATTTTCAACCTCACAATCTTCAATAAAATAATATTACACGTAAATTGAAAATTTTTCATTCTTTTACAACCATCAATTTTTCAACAAAAAAACATTATTCTCCCATTGTAAATCCAAATAATGGGGCCAAACGGGGGCTAAGTAATTTCAACTCACAACATTGGTTATTATTATAACCGTCGACAGTCAACCGCCCTCCATGCTCAATTAAAACCCTGGATTCGCCACTGGATGAAATAAGAAGAACTTAGGCACCGTTTGATAGGCCAAAATTTTCTAGGGAAAGTGGAAAATCAATTCCAACTTTGAGTTTTAAGGGTGTTTGATACCATTTTTTCCATGGAATTACATTTTCTAACTTTTTCTTGGGAATTGAAGTTTTCTTTGTTTTCAAGGTTTTCCCAGTTTACTGTAGCACTAGTTGAAACAAATTCTAAGATTTATTATAAAAAAAAAATATTTCCCTTTAATTGACAATTTTCATGTAAAACAAAGTCAAACGAACACCTAAGATAGATGATTTTCTTAAAAAAGAAAATTGTTTTTTTATTTATTTTGGCAATGGAAACAATTTTTCATTCCTAATACCTGTAAATTATATCCCTTTAATTAACAATTTTCATGTCAAACAAAGTCAAACGGACACTAAAAAACACTTTAATTTAAACATTTTCCACATGAAAAATTATACCAATCAAACACAATAATTTACAACTCCCAAGAAAAGAATTTCTCATCAATTCAATTATCTAAAATTCGTTTTCTTTCCACCCAAATTCCACATTTGGAATCAAACGGACCCTTACTTCTTCCCATGGCCAGCCGCTCCTCTCAGTCTATCGGTGAAATGCGAAACCCCAGCCCCAGGAAAATGACGTTGAATGCCATTTTATAGATATAATATAATTGGGCTGAGTAGGCCAAAAAGTATATCTTTGGATCCAGAATCAGGCATATAACTTTACAAAATTATTAACGTGAGATTTCACGGAAACGACACTAATTGGAGTAAATAAAAATTTTACCCTTCTTTGGGATATATATTTTTGTTTTTCTATTTTTAATTCTTTTCTTATTTTTTCTGTTTCTTATTTATCTCTTTTTAGTTTTTACTATTTAAATGTGATAATAAAGAAAGACAATCATGCCCTTTTTTAAATCGATCTTCACTCTAATGTATTTTTATTTTTAATTATTTTTTTTATTATTTTCGATTTATTATTTATCTCTTTTACTATTTATTAAATAAGATAATATGGAAAGACAATGTGCTCTTCTATAAATCGGTCTTCGTCCTAATTTTTTGGTCAATTAAAAAGCATTCCTTATGTAAATTTGCCTAAATAGACATATATTTAATTAAATAAAAATATATAGTTCTAACTTCATCCACTAATATTTATTTTAATAAATTCTTTTAAACATTTTTATACTCTTTTAGGGTTTGTGTTTAACTAAAATTTTAATAATAATAAAATACCATTTTTATCTAAAATCATAAAATCCTAATCATAAAATATCCTCTTCAATGGAAATTTAAAAAAAAAAAAACATTATTTGAGTTATAATTCTTTCGTGATATGAAAAATGGAATCTTAGGCCGTGGTTGGTTTGCCGTTTTCGACTCATTTTCCATTTTCGAAAACGCGGAAAATGCGTTTGGTCCGTCATTTTCGAAAACGAGTTAAAATTTATAATTAAAAACGCAAAAAGACTTTTTATCGTTTTCAGCGTTTTCAGTTATAAATGTCGAAAGCGCTCAAAATGCAGAAAACGGGCCGTTTTCAGGGAAAACTAAAAATCGTTTTGAAAATGAAAATGCAAACCAACCAGTACCTTAATTTTTATGCTTTTTTAATTATTGGTTTGACATGAAAATATACAAAATATTTCAAAATAAGTTTTAATATCAATCCAAATATTTTTATATTACAAAAGGAAACAAACTTAAAGTTATCAACCGAAACACAGACAACCAAATTTATGATCTTATAAGCAAAAAAGAAAAAAAATTATTAATATATGATTTGCGTAGGGATTTGTTTGGTTTCTTAAACAGTATACTCTTGAGAGAATCATATAAGTTTAAGAAAAGAGATTGCAAACATTTATAACTAAATATTAAAGTACCAACACGATCATATAGAAAGAGTAATCTTGATAAAAAAAAAAAAAAAAAATGAAGAAGAAGGAGAAGAACAATTCCTTGTCTATCATTGCATCTTCAAATTAAAACAGATTAAAATGTTTCTTAAGAAAAGGGCTTTTCAACTTGGTTGAGATGAATTATAATTAAAAAAAAAAAAAAAAACATTGGTAGTAGAGTTGTTCTATT